TGACACTGTCTAACCATCTCATCCTTTGCCGTCCCCGTCTTCTTTGACCTTCAATCTTTCCCAGCATCAGGGTCTTCTCCAGTGAGTGCTCCCTTCTCATTTGGTGGCCAAAGTATTTGAGCTTCAGTTTCATTATCTGGCCTTCCAGGGAACAGTCAGGGTTGATTTCTTTGAGGATTGACTGATTTGTTCTTCTTGCAGTCCAAGGGACTCTCAAGAGTCTTCTCCAGCACCATAGTTCAAAAGAATCTATTCTTCGGCGCTCGGCCTTCCTTATAGTCCAGCTCTCGCAGCCATACATGACTACTGGGAATACCATTGCTTTGACCATGCGGACTTTTGTTGGCAGGGTGATGTCTCTACTTTTTATCATGCTGTTTAGGTTCGCCATCGCTTTCCTCCCAAGGAGCAGGCGTCTTTTAATTTCATGGCTGCAGTCACAGTCTGCGGTGATCTGGGATCCCAGGAACGTGAAGTCTGTCACTACTTCCACGACTTCCCCTTCTATTTGCCAAGGAGTGATGGGGCCGGATGCCATGATCTTAGTTTTTTTGATGTTGAGCTTCAAGCCCACTTTTGCGCTCTCCTCTTTTACTCTGAGCAAGAGGCTCTTTAGATCCTTTTCACTTTCAGCCATTAGAGTGGTATCATCTGCATATCTGAGGTTGTTGATCTTTTCCCCAGCAATCTTAATTCCCGCTTGTGATTCATCCAGGCCAGCATTTCGCATGATGTACTCTGCATATATATTAAATAAGCAAGGTGACAGTATACATCCTTGTCGTACTCCTTTTCCTATGCTGAACCAATCAGTTGTTCCGTATCCGGTTCTAACTGTCGCTTCTTGGCCCTTATACAGGTTTCTCAAGAGACATGTGAGGTGGTCTGGTACTCCCATCTCTTTAAGGACCTGCCATAGTTTGTTGTGATCCACACAGTCAAAGGCTTTAGCATAGTCAATGAAGCAGAAGTAGATATTTTTCTGGTACTCTCTTGCTTTCTCCATAATCCAGCGAATGTTGGCAATATGATCTCTCGTTCCTCTACCTCTTCGAAACCCAGCTTGTACTTCTGGTAGTTCTCTATCCACGTACTGTTGAAGCCTAGCTTGTAGGATCTTGAGCATGACCTTGCTAGCGTGTGATATGAGTGCAATTGTGCGATAGTTTGAACATTCCTTGGCATTGCCCTTCTTTGGGATTGGAATGTATACTGATCTTTTCCAATCCTGTGGCCACTGTTGCGTTTTCCAAATTTGCTGGCAAATGGAGTGCAGAACTTTAACAGCATCCTCTTCTAAGACTTTGAATAGCTCAGCTGGGATACCATCACCTCCACTAGCTTTGTTGTTAGTAATGCTTTCTAAGGCCCATTTAACTTCACATTCCAGGATGTCTGGCTCGAGGTCAGTGATTATACCGTCGTGGTTGTCAAGGACATCGAGGTCTTTCTTGTATAGTTCTTCTGTGTATTCTTGCCATCTTTTCCTAATCTCTTCTGCTTCTGTTAGGTCCCTACCGTTTTTGTCCTTTATCATGGCCAGCTTTGCATGGAACGCTCCCTTGATTTCTCCAATTTTCTTGAAGAGATCTCTAGTCCTTCCCATTCTATTGTTTTCTTCTATTACTTTGCACTGTTCATTCAGGAAGGCCTCCTTATCTCTCCTTGCTGTTCTCTGGAAATCTGCGTTCAGTTGGGTAAATCTTTCCTTTTCGCCTTTGCCTTTCGCTTTCCTTCTTTCCTCTGCTATTTGTAAAGCCTCATCAGAAAGCCATTTTGCTTTCTTGCATTTCTTTTTCTTTGGTATGGTGGTGATTGCTGCCTCCTGTACGATGTCACGAACCTCTGTCCATAGTTCTTCAGGCACTCTATCTATCAAATCCAGACCCTTGAATCTATTCTTCACCTCTACTGTATATTCATCAGGGATGCGATCTAGGTCAAACCTGAATGGCCTCGTGGTTTTCCCAATTTTCTTCAGTTTAAGTCTGAATTTTGCAATGAGTAGCTCATGATCTGAACCACAGTCAGCTCCAGGTCTTGTTTTTACTGACTGGATAGAGCTTCTCCATCTTTGACTGCAAATTATATAGTCAATCTGATTTCGGTGTTGCCCATCTGGTGATGTCCATGTGTAGAGTCGTCTCTTAGGTTGTTGGAAAAGGGTGTTCGCTATGACCAGTGTGTTCTCTTGACAAAACTCTGTTAACCTTTGCCCTGCTTCATTTTGCTTTCCAAGGCCAAACTTGTCTGTTATTCCAGTTACCTTTTGACTTCCTACTTTAGCATTCCAGTCCCCTATGATGATGAGGACATCATTTTTTGGTGTTAGTTCTGTGAGGTGTTGTAGGTCTTCATAGAACCGGTCCACTTCAGCCTCTTCTGCATCAGTGGTTGGGGCATAGAGTTGGATTACTGTGATGTTGAATGGTTTGCCTTGGAATTGGACCAAAATCATTCTGTCATTTTTGAGATTGTATCCCAGTACTGCCTTTTGCACTCTCTTGTTGTCCCCTAAAGTATGAGTGGGCTGCGGTGGCTCAGAGGTTAAAACGCTGAGACGCAGGGACGTCCGGTCTATGAAGCAGCGATGGTGGACATTCTCCTAGGACCGCAGGGGAACGATCCGCACACCAGTGGGTTGGAGAGGTGCTACCTCAAGTAGCACCCCCACGGAGCCTTTATACTTTCTTAACCTTCTACCGGGAGCTCAACCGCAACACGTCTTTCCTCTCAGCCAAGCATGCCACGCCCCCGGAAATTAGCTTTAAAGGGGTTCCAGAAACAAATTGTAAAAAATGGCTGCCCTGCAAAGAAAGCTGAATACGAAACCGCCTGGCAGCCAGAGCCCAAAACTGGAAGAGGGAGCAGACGTCATGAAAATGCTAGCGGATATGCTCAAGCCAGTGATGGAGCAACTCGATGCTATTAACCAGCAACTGACTGTAATGAATAAAAGCTTTGCATCTCAGCAGCTCCAACTGAAAGAAATGGAGAAGAAGGTGGAGCAGGTAGCTGGGAAACTTAAGGAGTTGGACACCACAAGCAAGAAAATGAAGAAAAGAATGGGAGAAGTGGAAACAAAGCAAAATCTACAAGAAAACCGTTTGTTACAGCTGCAGATGGAAAAAGCCAACATGATTCTCAGATTCCAGGGAGTTCCTGAGGCAGAGAAGGAGGATCT